ATATTTCGGTATGTGTTCCCATTTATATTAGAGTTTAAGTACTATAATAATTTTATATATATATAGCACCTTTCAAAACAATGTTACTGTCACGGACCAAGCAGTAAAGCATAAAGGACACAGGTGTTTTAATTCAAAAAGGGGGTTTTATTGACCCAAAAACATGAAGATATATTTAACAAAGCCAAAACTTAAACAGGCAGACCAATAAAAGAGGTCAACTCAATAGACTAAACTCAAGATAATAATTAACAAAACCTCAAATAAACATAAGATAAACTAACCTGCTGGTTTAGCTAAACCAAATGACACACACAGGGGAAAACAAACTGGCTGCCATATAACCAACTAATACAAAACAATTAAACAAACATGAAACCCCACCCCCCCCTCCACCCCCCAGGCAATGAAGCATGTGGTTCTATCCATTTAGGCTGTCAGTGATACTTGAGCTCTCCCAGCCCTTTGCCACACCTTTTGCCAGACAGGAGGAGAAGCCAAACCCCAGGTAAGTCAAACAAAGAAAGATGCATTAGTATAACATAAAACAGAACTTTGACCTTGCAAGGTTAATATGTGTGCACGCCATATAAACATTGGAAGGCGTGATCGAAAAATACATACATTTAATAAAGAAACAATATTGAACAATAAGTAGAATATATTAAAGTAGTGACTGTAAATTAAACTAAAGTGAATCAACGGGTGGTGAGGTGTGGAGCTTACCATGTGTGGCATGCCATCACAGTTACAAAGTACTTCACAGGATAACACGCAACAATAAAGAATTAAAATCAGAAAAATTGGTCAATAATCATAACTCAAATTAAACAATCATTAATATCAATTATAGACAATTTTTGTTTTACAATACAGAAACCCCATCAGCTGGACTGATGCCAACTTCGATAGAGATCTGCATTCCTCTCATGTATGACAAATTTTACACCTCTCACTATAGTTTCACACAGCTGCTATTGGTTTGCCGCTTCCTGCTCTTCCTACAAGGTTGTCTTGTGAATTTATTACACACCTGGAGCATCAAACAGCAGCATGCAGTAGATCTCTATCACAGTAGTGCTCTATCTAAGCACATTTCAATACTCAGCAAGAGTAGAAACGTGCTATATAAGACCCAGTCCATTTACCATTCACCACACAGGCACAGTAAACTGGACTGGACTTTAGATATTTATAAATAAAACCAATGTAACTCCTGCATTTACGCTCACCAGTTCATTTTGTTTAAATTTTAAAATGTCAACCACCCCAAAAGGATACAAGACACCTCCACGATTGTAAAGTCCATTAGGTTGGTCAGTTTTTCCTCAGTAGGTTGTCTGTTGTGAACAGTGGTGAAGAATTATCATAATTACCTAATGTTTTTTCCATCTTCATCTGCGATTAAGAGTAATAGACTGTATAGACTTATTACATTCTCTTAATGTAGGTGTCACAGTATAATACTGTTCAAATGAAAGAAACTGATTTAAGTGTAATACACAGCATGTCTCCTCCTTTTCTAAAGTGACTGTTTTTGTGTATATGGACCTTTTTTTTGGAGTTTTTACACAATACTTGTGAAAGTTGGAAATGGAACCACAAATGGTTTCCAGACAACTAGTGACTCAATCAAAATCACCCTTTCTCATTTACATTAACCACTAATATGAATAATGAGTACTACAAGTACAAGTTTTCTGATGCTGATACTGTAGATTTTTTTCTAATCCTTGCTTTTACATCTTTTACTGTATACCTGGATACTTTGAGGTAAAGTCATAATAGTTAATTAAACTGAAGTAAGAAGTAAAATTATGTGTGAAAAAGTATTTTATTGAACTGGAAAGTTTTTAAGTTTTCACAACATGCTTGTGTAAGTTTGATTTGAGACCACAAGTGGTTTCCAAATAACTCATGACTCAATCACATGTCACACAAATCGTGACCAGACGCACAAGTGCCAAACTCAGGCACAGCTCATCTGTGAAAAAACAGACTTTTAGTGCACAAAAAAAAAAAATTTAAAAAAAATGTGTGGCTACATTGTATCACTACTGGGATTAATACAATGAGTGAAATTACACATTAGGAGGTCCCAGTTGATCAAATAGCACCTTACAAACTACAAGACTATACAACCTGATTCATTAAATGTGACTAGTTTTATTAAATGGAGTAACTGTTGAATGCAGCCATTCAAAAGTATGTTAATTATTGTAAAATGATACTATAATACATTTCCCAGAGCTGAGAAATGGAAAGCTGAGACTAAAATCATAGTGTTT